CAGAAGTTCGCTACAGAACGTTCTACATTCTTGCATCTAAACTGTTAACGCCCATTATGCAGGATACACAGAACAAAACCTTTTTTATTTCATAATTTTATGTGTATAGGTGTTTTGCCTACATGTATGTCTATGTACCATATTTATACCTGGTGCCTGAAGAAGCCAGAAGAGGGGGGTAGGAACTGGAATTAGAGGTAGCTGCAAGCTGCCATATGGGTGCTGGGAATCGAACCCAGGTCTTTTGCAAGGGTAAAAAGTATTCTTAACTACTGAGCCATCTCCTCAGCCCCAAGCACACTCTTATTTTTTATTTTATTTTATTTTATTTAAGATTTATTTATTTATATGTATACATGCCAGAAGAGGACACCAAACCTCATTATACATGGTTGTGAGCCACCATGTGGTTGCTGGGAATTGAACTCGGGACCTCTGGAAGAACAGCCAGTGCTCTTAGCTGCTAAGCCCTCTCTTCAGCTCCCAAGCACACTTTAAAAGAATGAGACAGAGGGGCCGGGCAGTGGTGACGCACGCCTTTAATCCCAGCACTCAGGAGACAGAGCCAGGTGGATCTCTGTGAGTTCGAAACCAGCCTGGTCTACAGAGCGAGTTCCAGGACAGGCACCAAAACTACACTGAGAGGGTTTGGAGAGATGGCTCAGAGGTTAAGAGCACTGACTGCTCTTCCAGGGGTCCTGAGTTCAATTCCCAGCAACCACATAGTGGCTCACAACCATCTGTAGTGAGATCTGGTGCCCTCTTCTGGCCTGCAGGCATACATGCAGGCAGAGCACTGAATACACAATAAATAGATCTTAAAAAAAACAAAAAACAAAAAAACCCTCAACTACCCAGAGAAACCTTGTTTTGAAAAAAAAAAAAAAAAGGGGCGGGGGGCTGGGGATTTAGCTCAGTGGTAGAGCGCTTGCCCTAGGTTTGGTCCTCAGCTCTGAAAAAAAAAGAATGAGACAGAGGGACACTGAGGACACATCCTCTGCAGCAGGGTAAGGATTGCTTTGCGGACCTTCCTGTGTCTGCTCCGTGCTGTGCTGTATTCAGTGATGTATGCACAGGCCTGCTGAATGGCAGTGCCAGACAGATAACCCACTCCTCCTGCAGGCCAGTCAAGAATGATGGGAGCCACAGATGTAAACAAAGGCCCCACTGACAGAGGACTTCTTCTGACCCAGATGCCACAGGTCCTAGGCACGGACAGCAGCTCAGATCTCATATACATAGGCTTAGTCCTTCAAGAATCCCAGTCCCAGCCAGGCTTAGTGGCACTGCCTTTAATCCCAGCACTGGAGGAAGAGGCTGGCGTTTGAGTCTAGCCTGGTCTATCCAGTGAGTTCCAGGGCAGCCAGGGATACATAGAGAGAGAGACTCTGTCTCAATTAAATGAATGAATGAATGAATGAATGAATAAATAAATAAATAAATAAATAAATGGGCTCTCAGTTCCCCTAAGGCTCTTGAACGTACTGTAGTTGGAGGTTCATACACACTGCATATTCTGTACAAAGGGCCAGAAGAGGCTGCCATTAGCTTACACTCCCTGCTAAGATGGAGACACGCAAACCCTCTGCTTTTGTACGAAGACACCACTTGCCAAGGGCTGCTCTCTAGAGACAGAATCTGCATAGAGGGGTGCTTTTGTGAACCACATGAAGGCCCAAATCAGCCAGCAGCCCCATAAATAGAAGCCTGGAAACCCGAGGACCAGATCCCACGGACACAGGCCCCATACAGTGTCTGAAAGCCAGATTTTGGCTAGAGAGAGAAAGATGATCTTAAACCCGGGCTTAAACAGAGAGGGGCCCCGGTTCAAAGGCAAAGGCTCCCCTTTTTCTTGTTTATTTTTAATCATGTGGGGGTGGGTATCTGCACATGTGAGTGCAGAAGGTGGAGATCCACTGGAACTGGAGTTACAGGCCTTTGGGGACAATCTGATGTGGGTGCTGGGAATCAAACGTGGGTCCTCTGGAAGAGGAAGAGATGCTCCTAACCTCTGTCTCATCCT